AATAAAATGAAAGTTCTTATGCAGTTCTATTTTTCTAGATATCCATTAAGGTGGTTGCTACTTTGGAGTGTTTATAATTGACCTAGGTTTATGATGAGAAGGTGGGTTGCAAAAGTCATTAAATCAATGATTTTCTAATCAAAAGTCAAACGCGTGGTCTAATCATTCACCCAATAGGCCTATATAAACTAGATTAGCAATAATTTTATATGATTGCATAATGCATATTTTATTTGTGATTGTGAGATCAGACCATAACTTTATCAAATAAATTGGGTGTCTTTTTAGCCAACCCCAGGGTGCTGCTAATAAGACACCCCTTAGACACACTCTTATCATTTTTATAAAAAATCAACCTATAATAAATTGTTTGTAATAAGTTTTTTCGGAAAACAATACAATTTCAACCAATAAAAATACTTCAAAATTAATTAGGGTTGTCTAAATGGTAAAAAAGGATGTCTTTTTAGCCAACCCAATAAATTTAAGAGTTTGATACAATAGGTTAAGAACAATTTAACAATAATGATTTGAATTATGAGGCTTTTATGTGAAGAAGGTGATTACCACACTTTAGAAGACCATTTTAACTATGGTGTATCAAAAGTTTTGGATTTGGTCTCCATATTCTATTTGTTGCACTAGTGGTCCTAAATGGTTTATTTTGTTGCAACCTTCATACCTACAAAAATAACAATTTTGTTAGATAGCTTTCGATAAATCACTTCATGTGCATTACACATGAGGGAAATAATGTATTTTCCTTCATATCTCTCATCTCGTGTGAACAATACAATATTGACGTACAATACCTAAAACACGGCATACACGTGTCTTGTGCATGTATTGACTTGATTATTTTCAAGGGAAAATGACTTGTAAGGTTAATTATTTTTTGGTGAAATTTAGGTTTAGGTATTTTTTTTTATTTTATTTACATTTAACCATTTAACTTCTTAAATATATTCACATATTATCATTGTCATCTGATATAACAGGTAGCAATAGTAATATGTGAACGCATTACCAGATGACAATGGTAATATGTTAACATATTTAACAAATTAAATGATTAAATATATAAAAAAAAAGTTGTCTAAAGGTGATTTTTTTTTACAAAATTTTTAAAACCTTTTATATTTTCTTATAACATTTTTATGCTATTTTTTCTATAGGTTTTCTAGTACAATGTTTTAAATTTTGCTTATAATTTTTTAAAACTTTTTTTATACATTCATATAATTTTAATACAAATTCTTATATGTTTTTTATTTGCTACGTAATACTTTCTTTTATTTTTTTTAAAAGACCCTCCATAGTTATTGTTACATATTTAATTTATTTTATTATATTGTTAGAATTTACTTTAAAAATATTGCATATGCTTAAAAATAAAAGAATATATATATATATATATATATATATATATATATATATATATATATATATATATATAAGGCTATATAAAATATTTCATAAAACAAAAACATATTTATTAATTAAATAGTAAAGTTTAGAATTGATGGATATTTAATTAATATTTAAGACATTATAGATACCTTAAAAATAACGTTTGAAAAAACATAATACAAACAAATATGAAAAATAAAATCGTTATTAAAAGTGGAGGAAATGACTTATCAGGGTAATTAACTTTTTGTTTTATTCACATTTGGGCAATTTTTGTTTTTTGTACATATTCGACCATTTAACTTGTTAATATGTTCACATGTTACCATTATTACATGAGATATCCGATGACAATGATTATATTTGAACACATATAACAAGTTAAATGATCAAATGTGTACAAAAAAAGTTTTCTAAATGTGAATAAAGCAACAAAGATGATTACCCTAGTAAGTCATTTTCCCTATTTTCAACTTCAATTTTCTTTTAAGTATTGTAAGTCTATAAGGCACAATGGGTCTTCTGTTTTCTCAATGTAATGAAGAAACTCTTTTTGATTCCTTCTTCTTCTTCTTCTTCTTATTTCCTTGTTGTGTGATCTTGGTATATGAAAATGTATGTTCTCATTGGAGAAATCTCCATGTTAACAAACTAGTATTAAATCCTGGTTGTGCCGATGGAAGAGCTTCAAGTTGTTAGTGGTGTAAAGAAGATAAACAATCACAATGATAAAAACATGGTCTACGTGCATATCATCCTATATGCAAGGTCAGGATCTATGGAAAGTGATGAAACATTCAGAGACAAGAGACAAGACAACTGATGTGACAACCAAATATAATAATGGTATTCTAAGAAAGTGGACAACCAAAGCAGGAAAAGTGTTGTTTGTGTTGAAGACAACCTATATACAGGAAGTACTCGAGCATATCAAGGATGCGACTACTCCTAAGTAAGCATAAATAATCATGATATACTCTAACTACCTTGTTTTCTAAGACACGTTATACTAAAGCTATAGTTGCTTAAGAATGAAATGTTGTCTGAGGGACTTAACTGTTCCTCAATACTTTGATAATATGAAGTGACTATGTAGAGAAATTACCAAGTTGGTGATGGGTTTTGAGCATAACATCAATCATATGGTGTTCATGCAACCCTAATTGCTTGGATCTAGGTTTTCTACTTTG